TGCTGCTGCTGAAAAAAACAGCAGCAGCAGCAGCAGCGGCGGCGGCGGCGGCGGCGGCGGCGACGTTGAGCCTGGCTCTCTTCCACAATTTCCTTACTTTTGACCAACTCCTCCTTCGTTTCCTCCAGCGTTCTCTCTACGACGGTGAGGCTGCCGCGTTCGATAGCGCGCCGCGTGTTATCTTCTGCTGACGCGGCAACCATGCATTGCCCCGTCCTCTCTTCAAACTTCGTTTTGTTTTGATTCAGCTTTCGCGCAGCGCGCCTCCTGCTGCCGGACGGCGCGGACCTCGATTTTTTTTTTGGGGGAGGGTCTGCTGGTGTGGGCGCTGCAGCCCCACTGGAGGGGCCGTTCTCAGACATGTAGATCTCGTGGTTGGCTGATGCGATTCGGATGCGGTTTGTTGTGTGGCATAGCTGTAAACCCAAGGTAGAGGGCTGTAAGCTCGCTTTTTCGAGAGGAGCAAAGGTCGCCTTGGGCGCGGAGCAAAGAGCTAAAAAAAACATGCTTTTTGGTGTTGTTCGTCTGCCCTTTAACTTCAAGAGAAAACCGAGCTTACAGTCGCCTCTGTTGGACTTGTGTCCAGGTGTGTGTAACGTATGAAGAGTCACGCTGCTGCCTGGGCGCAGAACTACCTGCACAAACAAACTGAGTGACGTAGTGTTCAATCAGTATAACAGGCGGGCACTCTCAAGAGCCGAAAAAGAACCCAATCCGTGTGCCCTCCCCCCAAATATCGCTGAATAGACCGGTCACACTTTTGGCTCCAGAATCTGCCCGATTGACACCCCCAACAGTAAGGTTTTCCAAACCAGTTCTTTGAGCTGTTGCTCGCCGTATTGAGACTGGAAATGTTTCCTGATAAATTTCGCCCCAAACGTCGCGCCGCCATCAAGTATTCTCAAGAACATGCGGGGCTGTGACAGCACGGTTTTGAAACGGGAACCAACAAAACCAAAACTCGTACGCACAACGAAGCCATACCGTGACGCCCAGGAAGACGACAGAGAGAAAATTTCACCTGGTGCCGCCCGTGAGGTGCACATCGCAGTTCACGCTCTCCATCTCGAAAGAACCCAACGACGACAAGTTACAAGGCAGGGGTGGTGGCCGTATCATCCCCTACTCGCGGGGCGAACATATTCGTGCGGCAAACGTGCAACAGCAGCAGCGGCCTCTCTGACGACCGCGGTGCAAAGTCTGAATGCTTCACGCCCTGTACAAATACAAATGATCAAACACAAACGGTTTTTGCCAGCGGCCGCAACTACCCGTTGCTTGCTCGCAAACAACATTTGCGCACGGTTCTTCCGAGAGTTTTTGCCCGGAAGTAAATATTTGCACACCTCCATACCTCGACAAGCGAGCGCTTGTACATCGCGCACAGCAGGAGGTCGGAGTCTGACGCCCACTCCAAGGCCTCAATCTTGTCCAGGCAAGGCCGCAGGCCGCCCTGGGAAAAGGAGTAAGCAGCAAGCGAGAGGGCGAAGGGTCGAGGAACCCGCGGGCAGCAGCAGTGTTCGCATCAGCCAACAACGAAAACGATAAAGAGGGTCCGGGAGACCAGTAGCGTGCGATTGCGACAACCAGCCTTGGGGTGTTAGGATATGTGTGCTTATGGAGAGCCGAAAGAGCTGCATTTCTTCGTGCATTGCAGGGGTAGAAGCAACACCACCGCCTGACGCATATAGGCATGGGCATGCATAGGTAAACATTTTTTCGTGCAGAGGTAGAATCCATGCCACCACCCCACGCAAATATGTGCGCATGCATAGGTTCCCAATCTGGAGAGACCCCGCGACCTGGGACCAAGGACCTATAGCGATGTTGGATGGTAGTATGCGTAATGTACGCGGTGTGAACAGCAGTGTGGCGGAAACCCACGTGGTAACAGAGAGGGGAAGAGAGCCGAGTGGTTCACCGTATACACGCCGATGTGCGGAAGGAATGTTTTTGGGATTCACTGCCGTAAAGGTGCTGAGAGCACTTGATGAAGGCCCGATCAAGGCAAGGCTTACGCTGCCAAGTACCGTAGGTTTCATGACATACCGCCCCCTGAACCGAGTTTCGAAGGTCAGACTACAGCAGGCACACGACGAAGGAGGCCACAATCCAAGTTCATGCGATACTTTTCGGAAAGCTCTCAACGAGACGCTTCTAACTCCGCTATGCTCGGCACTGCTGCTCTTGCTGCAGAGCTAATCGACGTTTGGAAGGAAGGAGACAGGGGGGTGGAATCTTCCGCAAAAGGCGATTGATGGGACGCACAGAAAGGTGTGAAGAAGCATATGGCGGCACGACCGGGCGATTCTCAATGATGTGATAGTAGGCTGAAATGCTCATGACGTTCCTTGTCAAACCGACGTGTTTTCATCTCGAGAGCCCTGCCACACAGCAACAACGCAACAGCGGCACAGCGGCTGAACACACCTTCGTCTTTTCAAATCGGTATTTCGAGCATGTTTACCTTTTCAAGACGGACGCAAGTTAGCTTACGAAGGTGTGTTGACGCCGCTGCTGACATAATCCGACCTCCCCCACACCCTGGCACGATGGCCCACCTGCACGATTTCGAAGCCATTCATCGCGTCCCGCACCATCAGCCTCTTCCCCACAGCCATGGCCACGTACCGACCGTCAGGGCTCCATTGCACAAGGCCGGAGCTCTGATCGTACATGGAACTGAAGTGCGCGCTCATGGTGTGCGTGCGGGAGGATCTATCCCCACAAGCAAGCGACTGTTTCGCCCAGACGTGCCCTTCCTCCGTTGCCTCCTGCCCTTTGCTGTGTGCGCGACTTGGAAAAGATGCACCTCAACAGCTTTGTCTCTCCCCCGCATAAAGGCTGCAAGCTGTATGGTGAAGCCTGTGCTCCAGTTGAACGCCGCCCGTTATGAAATACCAGGAACCTTTTTGAACCGAGCTGTGTTTGTTAATCCCGCCCAGCCACGGCGCCACAGCAGGCCTTGCCGATCACCAGCGAACCACCACCCCACCCTCCGGAGGTGCTTCTTCCTCCAAGAAAGTGCAAGCCTGCCGCTCAGTTTTCTCTGCTGCACCGCACGTTGTACTCTGGCACTGCTCTCTTCCCCTGCCAGATCCGTTGCCTACAGTAGCACGAATCCACGGAGCCCCCGCCTCGAATCGGCTGGGCTGCCCACGTCGTGCAGCCAGCCCTCGAGCGTCGTCTCTACTGCTACTTTCCACCGTGTGTCCCCGTTGCCAGTCCCAACGGCTTGGTGTGTCGCCCTCTCCATCTCCTAAGGCCTACTATTTGTCTTCCAGTTTGTGCATTATCTGCGGGCATTTTGAAAGCGGTCCCGCTTCTGCTGGGAGAGACAGCAGTACATGTAGTCTAGTCGGTCGTTTGGATTTTCAAACCAAGGTTGGAGCGCTTCGACGGTTTACCACTGCTGTCTGTTGAGCAGAGCAGCCGGCATGGAACAAGATCGGCGTTCGTCTGGGCCGAACGAGGAAGCCCGGCTGATGGTCAGAATGCGGCAGGTCAGTGACTCGAGTGGGAGGAGACAGCGAAGAGGTACAGCAGTGATAATCCAGCAATTTCAAGTATCTGTAATGCTCTGGACAGACGGAGAGAGAGAGAGAGCGAGACAGACACAGAGAGATTGCGTACTGTACGCGCGTAGGCATTTGGAAGGGTGTTACGTGTAGTAGCAACGTTACCGACCTTGCTGGTTGCTCTCCGGACGTGAAAGACGCCCGCCCTGAAGTAGTCCGGCGTATGTATATACGATTGCTGTCAAATCCAAACTCTTCGAAAGCGCGGTCCAAACCAAGCGCGCACATAGCAACAGTCCCCGGTACTTGACCGGGATCTACGATCATCGACAAGCGCCCAGGGCGTGTAACCCCTCCTGGTCTCCTGCTGTTAAGCTTCTTCTGGCTCAAGATAACGTTACCTTTGCGCCACCTACGCCTGCTGCCGCCCGCCCCCCCCCCTGCTGTTCAATCGAACACCCCGGTGGTCAAATAAAACTGACATACCGCCCCTTCCTCCCCGCGGAGCCCCTCCTCTTTGACCCCACCGCCCTCGCCCAATGTGACGGATGACCTCCTGAACGTCGCACGGCCGAAACGCTCGGTGCATTAACGACTAAAAAAAAAAGACAATCGTACAACATGTACCGCTGCATGCCAATCGAAAACCACACGCAGGCGCACTCCATGGCCTTGAAAAGATCGGCGGACAAGTTGACGTCCCACGTCCTACTGAAGCGAGTCCGACCTATCCAAGGAAAGCTTGGGGATGCGGATCCGGCCGCACTCGCCGCGCAGGTGGTTGCACAAGTCATAGAGAAGTCGGAGGTGTGTATGTGCGTGTGTGTATATGTTTCTTCCTCAAGCATCGACCGCGCTAGCCGACTGACCAATGAAAAGACGTCAGTCTCAGTGAAATTGGAAACAGAAATGCTTCTGAAGGCTCCCACAATCTGGGACCCCGGGAAGGGGGAGGCTATGTGTGTGTGTGTTGACTTACCATCGACCGGGGTTATGAGCTGACAAAATGAAGTACGTCAGTCTTATAAGCGGGATCATACAAATACGCCAACACTCTTTCGCTTGCCGACAGGCGTGGCACAGGAGTTGGACGACGGAAGTGTCCTGCTAGAGAGGTACCAGGACAAGCCTCAATGCCACCGTGCAGTGTGCGTGTGCACTCCAGGCCCCGCACACGGGGGGAGCGTCCTGTCGCCGTTGTTGGGTGTGCAAGTTTTATTTATCTCGTAGTGGTTTGTCGTTGAAGAATGATCCCCCCCC